GTTGCTAATGCAGCTGCCAACGTAAGTGGATTGATCAACCACCTCGAGTTCCTCGTTAGCAAACTTCAAGTGGTCATCAAATGGCTGGTGGTCCTGCAGCAACACTTTGCACTTTGAAGGTGCAAAGCGCATACCAAATAATGGGATCACTCTAGTGAGGCTATTCGGGATTGACTGGGCCGCCCAAACATCTTCGAAAAGCAACACGAGATCGTCCGCATAATCAAGATCAACCAATCTTTCACCATGCAACGCCTCAATGCCGGCATCATAAGGCGCCATAATGGAACACTCCATGATAGAGACAACGAAGAAATTGAACAAGACTGGTGAAATTGGGCAACCCTGACGAACGCCACTGGTTATCAGAAAGCCATCCTACAGCTCACTGTATACCCTGACAAGACCCGCAGTGTTCGAGTATATGGCACGAAAAGTGTTCGCATATATCATGGGAAAATCTTTCCGCGCAAGTAATTTAAACAGAATGCATCGATCGACTGAATCGAGCACACACTTGAAGTCGAGGAACGCAGCTGTTGTCGGTCTGCGACACTTATGGCGCTGCTGCAGTATGTACCGCAGAGTGAATATACGGTCTATAAAGCCCTGTCTATGGTGGAAATCTGTCTGCTCTTCTATAATCCGGGACCCCCGTTCCGCAGTGAGGCGACGAACGAGAACCGATGCCAGCAAATTTTTTCACAACGTATTAGGCTAATACTCAATTGGTTAGCACAGTTGGTGCGACTGCCCTTGTTGTATAGCGCAACTATAATCGATGCACTACAGTTAACCGGGACGCGCGCTTCTTTCCAGTTATGTTCGAACAGGGAGGTTAGTGTTTTGCAGAAGACCACACCTCCATCCTTAAATAGTGCAAGTGGAACGGAATCCGGACCCGCAGCACGAAAACCTTTGAGGGCTGTGATCGTATCACGGACCTCAGCTTCCGACGGAGTCTCTAAACTAACCGTCCATGATTTATCCTGCATCACCTGAGTTGCAAAAGGCCCCGATGTAGTTGGCCAACTAAACTGATCTTAAAAGTGTTCCGCCCAACGAGAGTGCGCCTCACGGTAAAGTTCATGACAGAGCGACAGCGCACCAAAGAATGATCAGAGTCGACGCAAGGACTCCAGTACGATCGACAATCCAGGATGGAACCACATCACCTGCAACATATAGCAATGTAATCTATTTGGATCCATTGCTGGCTTGCTACAGGAGGACGCCAAGTGGAGCTTCGGCGCCCACTGTGTTTAAAAGCAGTGCTACTAAGAAACAACTGCTGCTCCGCAAATAGCTGCCACAGATACTCGCCGTTGTCAGTCCGTTCGGAGTTAAGCCCATAGTTACCACCTAGCTAAGATTTTGCATAGCCCAAACAATCTACGTGTGCATTCATGTATCCAGCAGCAACAACGATATCTGAACTGCTAGCACCGCGTAGTAGCGTGTTCAGTTCGTGATGGGAGGTGTCTTTGGCAGCATCGGAACTGCAGTCGGCGGGAGCGAAAGCCGAAGGCACAAACTAACATCGTCTTGTACTACTTCATGAATCAACCTATATTGATGTGGTCAAACGGGCTGCACACAAATGGCTGTTCACAGAAATCCAATCAACCAACCATGACCCCGTCCTGGAGCTGAAAATGATACCTACCCCAGCTTAACGCGTGAGTGCTGCATCGGCGTTTCCGGAAGCGTGCAACCAGTAGTGAGAGGACAAGTCGGGCGCAGTTAATTCCACAACCCCGTTAGGGTCACTGACCCTAGTTTCGGACATACAACACACATCAATATCCAGTGTGTCCAACATACATGTGAGTGCAGGCTATTTGACATATTTTTCTTAGATTGCGAACGTCGAACACCGCCAGAGAAACTGGACAGCGTGGACTTATAACGGACTGTTGTCGATAGGTGTCCAGCGGGTGTTGCGGGAAGGTGGCTGCAGTTGGTGTGATTCCAGTTGCAATTCGAAGGAGTGTTAACAATGGGAGTCGGGATAGGGGTAAAAGAGACAGGTGGAAAATAATGAAAGGAGGCGCCAGCAGTAGAAAGTTTTCGCTTATTCAACCTGCAGTATGCAGCAGATAAGGTAACCCTTGATTTGCTGCGCGAAGGCCGAAGCAGAATGAAGTTTATATTTGAAGAAAAAGTCATGATTGCACGTCGGTTGAGATACTGCCAAGACGCCCGGACTTAGACAGGAGGACCATAAGGGTCTTCAACCAAAGCCTTTGGCTCAAAAACCTATCCTCAAGACAGTGGGGTGGTGGTAATGATAAGGGTTACAGAAACGGTTGTCAACCCATTTCAAACCCCTAACCTGGAATACCAGGCGACTGCGTTTGTCTGACCTCTAATCATTGACCAATCTGGTGGGAGTAGCTCACAATGAACCCGATGGCACCATCCAGTATGGCACAATTGGTCAAAGAAGTACGCAAACCGTAGCACCACGTTAAGCTCCAATCTCGTTGCGACAGGATAAGGTAGATGCACCAGGTCCAACATTTTTAGCCGCCCTTCTTTTCGGATCTCCGAAACATCAGTACGGTTGTGCGTTTATCTAGGATGCCAGACCTGGATGGCATAATCCACATTATGCTTCAAATGTCTGTTGAACATTTGGGAAAACAATGTAGGATGTAACCAACGCGGCACCTCTCCAGGAAGCCAACGGGTTGGTTGGCTTCTCTCACTGGTTTTTAGACCTATCTTGATTACGATGGCTTTGAGACCGCCTCCTTGGGTGATTGCTTCAAATGATGCGTTCCTAGCCGACGTTCGTAGGTTGTTGGATGGCTCCTGGTAGCTCTTGTAGGGCCGGGTGTACTTCTGCTGTTCTTCAAAATCATGAGATCAGCAGCAAGCTACATAAATTTTGAGCTTGTAATTTCTACCACAATTCATACGAACTACAGAATTAACTTCATTTGTTCAACAGACACTTCAACAAATAACGCACATATCTTTTGATATTGTAGTTCTACCCTTGCCGTCATCCTGGACTTGTCAATCATCTCTTTTTTACCGGGGAGAAATCATTGTTCCTTGTTCACATCACCGAGCCTTATGAGCCGCTAGACCATACTACTATCGGCTCGGATTGCGTACTTCGAACTCTACAGTTAAGGTGGGGAGGAAAACACATCTTCACCGCAGGGTAGGATCGCTGAGTACCTAGATCTGAAGCTTGTAAATGCAAATGTGAAGATCGGGACAGTTAACGGAATACGAGAAAACAAGCTTGACAATCTCACTTACTTCGTCAGCATCCGCAGATTCTGTCCATCCTACACGCACCACCACTGGTTTTGCGAGGGAAGCTGGTTGACAGTAACTAGAGTTCTTACGTTTTCACGCTAATATCGAGGAAAAGAATATTTCCAGCGCAAATCCGCGAGTCGTTAGCTTCTGAGTGCCAATTTAGTTGAAGTGCGACAGAACGGGTGGATTGCAACAAGTCATCCCATTTTGAACCGCTACTTGCGTTGAAGCGAATGTGGACCAATTCGATCACAAGAACCGCGGGAGAGGTAGATAAAGGTTGGATCTTTTTCTCTCCTAATCCTACATTCTACTGCATGTACCGAAGTCCAACGAAGTCGGGAACTACTAGAAGTAATACACTGTAATAAGTTCCCTATGCTAGCGCAGGTCCAAGGACACCTGAGTAGCTACAAATGCAGGAAACTCCTCTGAAAGCAATCAGACCTCCGTACAACTATGGTCGAACAGTCCGTGTGTTAAAAACCAAATGTGCATACGGTTTACTAACCGGATAAGGATGTTGACAGATGCTCGCAAGGACAAAATAACTATTTGTTAAAAAAAGGTTACAGTTCTTACAGCCATAATTCCAGAGCAGCAGCGTCTAACGAGGAGAAGGGTAGATGCGCGTTGGTATGCGTAGCTGGGAACGCTTGGCTTTGGTAGCCTTTGAAAGATTAGGTAACAGACAAGTGCATGATTGACTCAAACAAACACAATCAGCTTTTAAGTAAGCAGCTGTTCAATTCACTCACGTACAGATTGAAACTATAATTTCGGCACTTAGACCCCCCAGCTCACTACTCAAGCCAGTGCAATGTCAGTGTCTCAACGTTAGCTTATTACGGGAATCATTGATTTAGAGAGTTTGCAGAAGCTACTGGTGAAGCTTACTGTGTTGGCCTGGTGACTGCTTCCACGCACTCAGTTGGTATGCATGAGCCTAAATTATCGAGTTTTAAATAGCAACAATGCTAAAAGAGCGGAAGCTGTCGAAACCAATCAGCGCACATGCACCTACAAGTTTACAGGGCCCATTATTGGTGACCAAATTGATCACCCATCAGCTACAGTTATTTGGAGATAACCTCAATGGGGGCTACAATCAAGCCCCATAAACAACGGCTTTTAACCACAAATAAGACTATCAAAACAAAGCGTTAAAATAAATCTTAAATGATCTTAGTATTAAAATGGTAGTCTTTCGTTGCTAGGCTTTAAAGAAGCATGCTTGATTTTGTCATTATCTTGCCACATGTATAAGGAAGTCACTGTCATCGCTTAACGCCTGCTTTTGTAGAAAAATCCACCGAACCGTATAAAATACCATATTACAGATGCCAAATTTCCCTCGTCAAATAATTTTCATTACGTGTAGGTATAGTATTGACATTATCCTGGTGCTATTGATTTACATTCGAAAAGTCATTCGACTTTTGGTTCTGGCATCTTATATATTGCTATGTCTTGGAAGCAATCTATGGAGTGAGATTTTTCTTTAGCGGTGCACATCCAATTGTACCCGTCCAATGACTGCAAGACCGCTTGTAAGTGCTTGATCGCAGCGAAATCGATTCTGTCTTGATGATCTCTGATGACTAAGTCTGATGTTACTTATGCACGTTGTTTACTTATGTTCAGTAAATGGTACATGTCACAAAAAATTTTTACTCGCCGATTTTCACACACGATAACCAATTGTTTCTTATCCGATTCAGTAATAAATGGAGAAAAAGCAGCGTTTCATTCGCCAGTTTTTGCACAAAAACGGGAACGCACTTTGGAAATGTTGTTAAACGTCATTTGTTCTTCCAATCTCAATGAGGCAGGGGTATGTGATATATTTTTCCTATATGACAAAGTGGTGATTATACGTCTAACTTGTAAAGCAGCAACTGAAAAGCTCTTCATTTTTGTAGGGACGAATGAGACATGTACATCTCTAATACAACTACCTCTGGTGTAACATTTATATTGCATATACCAATAATGTCCACATGTTCTCATTATCCTTAAGCAAATTGATCGGCAATGTGCATTCTGTTGCACCTATTATCTAAGGTTTAACCATAAATTAACTCCAGATTTATCCAAATGCCTTTACAAAGTATCCAGCATCAGGGGGCTGAAAGTTGCAGCAACAAGATGTGATAATGGCAAGACGTATAAAAGTAGTTTTCCTGTAGCATTCAGTACCTCACCGATTGTGTGGCTTTATAGGTACCCCAGGCAGTTCGTTCAGTTATGCAACAATAAATAGCTTATTGATTGTGCAGGTTGAGTGCTATAGTTGCTAATGTCTAAAGTCAATCAAAGAGGATCATGGGGACCCTATCATGAGTGTTGATACTTACCAATGGGGCCGGACTTAATAGTTTATCTCTTTTTTCTGGATACCTGCCTGATTTGTGCAATATAAAATCAAGATAACGAAACAAGACTCCTCCTGTAACACGATCCTCCTATGTACGCTTCGTACTGAGACGAACAACGCAACTGCATACTTCACATAGCCCAGAAAGCAACCTTTTTACGGATATCAAGCTTAATCATTCGGTTATCATGCAATGCTTGCATTAGCAGACAGATAGTAATGAATTCAGCCAGTGTACCTAATTGGGTATTATTAGTCTGCGTTTGCAGCCACTGTAAGGCAAACTCGGTATACGCATTACATTCTATAAGTGTTGCTAACATGCTCATTTGGTACAACCTAGGACCATCGGATGTTGCACCACATCCGTCTCGTTCTGTCGAACTTAATTGACGCAAAGAAGTCCCATCGAAATAAGTGAGACTTAAATGCGCAAGTGAAATCTCCAAAGTCTGGGCTATAGTGAACACCGACTTGACCCCGTAACCGGGCACGCCAGCTGCCATTATGGTGTCCGTTATCGCCGCACACTCCAGAACAAGTACTATTTCAACAACCGAAGTCACTAAGTCTGATAGATTAAACACAGAGATCACGTCTTTACATGCCACCTGGACCAGTATCCTTGGCTTAACATGGACTGAAATCTGCGGTTCGTTGAGATAAACCTCTGCTAGGTACGTAGATGATGTCTTCCTTGAATCTCCTCTAGCATTGATGGATTCACGTAAACGTATGAAACTAATCGAAACCCCTATTTAAATTGGGTTGACTGTTCATCTGCGCATAGACTCGCCGATATTGGCAACCTGATTGAAATCTTTTCATCACCAAATGTGCGGACATCATCAAAGTAGTCACGAATGTTAGCCTTTGGACGTTCGCAATCGCGTCACTATGGCTGGTTGCTCAGTGGGCTTCTGCGTTAGACTTGTGTTATGTTAACTTGCTAACTTGGTGATAAACTTCCAGCAGAAAAATACATAAACTTGTGTGTCCTAGCTTTATGTAAGGATGGTAACAGCCAGTAGCTGCTTGACCATCCGCAGTGCCTTAAAATTATGTCCGAAAATCCCCAAACCCGTAAAGTAACTGATCAAGACGACCTGAAAACCTAACTCAGTACCACATATTAGCCCATCGATCACTTTAGAGGTTATGAAACTACAGAAACGATTACACAACCGACATTTTTCTGTACACTTTTATGCAGCCGTCGGACAGTATTCTAACTTCGCACAAGCCTTGTACGAACGTGAATGCTTATGAGTCCCTATTTCTTTTACTTGAAGGCTGGTACCCTGAGCCGAAGGACCTTCGGAGATGCGGTCATCGATTCTTTCAACGGAATCACTACTACAAAAGAACAAAATCGTGTTGATGAATACATACGCTACGGCCAAGTAGGTTTATCCCTCACACTCGTTTATCGCGTTCGCATCGTCTTGTAACGTAGTGTAGTAACCTGGAGATTCCCCCTTCTGACTGTGTAAATTATTCTAAAATATATATAAATCATAGCTTTCTTATGGATTAGGGTATTAGACGGTTTGTTTGTTATAAAGTTTATCCAGTTTGTTTGAAACACAAGTACGATATCCGTCTTTGGCGAGCAACTTGACAGCGAACGACCTCCCGTCCAGGCACTCGACGCCTAACTACATCCGCCCTACATCCGCCCCTCTTCTGGTGCCCTATTTTAGCCCTAGCTCGGTCCTCTTTCGTTCAATAAGACTTTTCCGTAGCTTATTTTGGTGTGTTCTCCTGTACACTCACGGTTGGCCGTTTAGTCTCGTACCGGATGTACAGCACATGATCGAAGCGCTGTAGTATTTCTTCGAATCCTTTCGTTAGTTTGATGGTTTCTGTGATTTGAACATTGCTATGCCTAGAAGTGTATTATATTTCCCGAGTGTCTCATGAGAGAGGAGGGAGCTGTGTGGCTTCGTAAAGACCGATTTTGTAACGACAAACGATCTGTCTCAGGGATGCGAAACACCACTACAGTTAACTTGCATGGTATCCACAGTAATCACATATAATTTGTCGGGTCGCATCCATAAGTAACTGTGTATTGTTAGAAATTAAACAAGTTGATGCATGCATTACGTTTAACCAAACACAAAGTCTTTGTACCTGATTGGTGGGTAACTGAACTTTATCAACCAAGTACCGAATTCACCTGACCTGATGAGCATATTTGGAAATCTACGTCTATCGATCGTCTAATTCTTTTCAGTGTTGCAGACCCTTGATTGGAATCCTTTTATTCTGTAGAAGTAGGTTTCCACACCCGAGTATTAGCTATAGAACAAGCTGCAAATTACCCAGATAGTTGAAAATCTGGAAGCTGATGTCCCCAGCTTTCGCGCTTGCATATACCCTCAATTGATGTGTGTTTTGTGAACGTGAAAAAGCGGCCCATAGAATTCGTGGTAAGTTTACCCACAGACATCCACGATGTGATCAGAACCGGAAAGACCGACCAACAGATAGCCAAATGTGACCCCCACTTGGTTCATTGTCGTTGCGTATGCGTTTGCTTCTGTGGGTGAAGTCGTTTTTCACCGGAGCTCCAGAGTACTGCTGAGATGTTGCTGTTGCCAGAAAATTTCCCTAACTCCTGCTGTATCACACCTCGCAACTCTACAGGAGTTGTATTGAGGCCGGTCTATGCAAAGCCATTTCTAGGGGTGACTGCAGCTGTTACTTTGAAAACAAACAGCTGCACGACCATAGACCGAGGTTTATGCTGGTGGGAAGCATCATTATTTTTGAGACGAATTCGTGTAACAGTGTTTCTGGGTTCTTAGAAAATACATTGCTTGGGGAAGATGGTGGCAAACTTAGTAGGGGACATTCGATATGTTGAACAGCCCGATATAATCGACCTGTGTAATCATCCGCCTGGTGGCATCGGCTAATTCATTTGATACTGGCGTGCGTACTCGCAAGCTTGCGTGAGTTAAACCGCTGGATCATGAGCGCAAGATACACCTTTTTAGTGCTTTTCAGGTAACGACAGTAACTGCAGTTGGGGTTTTTGCGAAAGCACGCTAGTTACCAAAAGGCAACGCTGTGTGGTGTGAACCCTTTCATTAAACTGCATTGAACAGCTTACATATTGGCAAACCAGATGGACATGGTGTATTGGCACTTCAGTGGCGTACCAATTAATCCGCAATTTGCTTAGTCTTGGAACACTACGTTCCAGTTGGTCCAACGTCAGAGACAACCTTCGTTGGTGTTATCAAGACAGATTGCATTCTACAATATTTCTACAAACGGACTCTGACGTTTTGCTCCAAAAGGGAAAAGTTGTTACTTCTTTCGATGCCTTAAACAGGAAATAGACGGTGCACCGAGGCTAACCATCGCTTATTAGCATTGATCCAACGGTCGTTAGGATGCGAACTACTGAAGAGTCTCAATGGAATGAAAATGCTGTCCAATGCTATTCCTGGTGCTCAGAGTCCGACTGATTAGGGCCTGGCTGTGATGGAAAAATGCACACTTAGTGTACACAGTTAAGTTTATACAATCCGAAATGTCAATGTCTTTAGTTTTCCGAAAAAAACTGATGTGAGTGGATGCGGTTATAACGTAACGCGATAATTTTGATCGGTATCGAAAAAAAGGAAATTCCCCGATTATGCCAGTTCAACGCAAACACAGACACCAGGCTGCAAGATACCAATGACGCTCCGGAGGAGTATCAGTTGTACACCTACTGAGCAGTCACGTACACAGTTTGTCGTCAACTGAGACAATAAAACCTAAGTTCGACTGATATGGCATGGAAAGTTTATACAAGTAGCAAAATTCTGCAAGTTAATTGGGTAGGAAAGATCACGTGAAGCTGCGTTTTGTGTCTTGGTGAATGCGGGTATATAAAGTTGGACACATGGGGTTACGGATATAGCAAAATAAACAGGTTAGATGATGTGAAATCGTAATTTTGGTGCCTGACATCTACTGAACTTCAAGGTGACTAGAAACTCCTAGCCAGCAAACGTTACATGGTCTCCGCATTCGCTGCTGTAACGAAGCAACACTTCTTGATTCGCAAACTTAAAACACTCCAGACAGAATAGTCGCCAATAAAATCGACAGGACAATAGAACCTAGTCTCAAGCGACGCACAAAACGTCAGAATTGATGTTGTTAAATGCAGAGCAAGAAGTGGAACTTTGTTTGGGAAAATGTAACCAGGATTTTAACCTTTCTAATACCAAAATGAAAAATCAAAAGACGTACACAGTGAGATGACTCACTCATTTCGTGCAAGCTCCTCAATCACAAAACACGCAGAAACCGTAGCTATAAAGAACGCGACCATATGAGAGGAATATTTAGCCAATCGTTGACAAAACGTCACCCTTCACACTACCACGGTAGATTAAAGATTCGCGGTTAACTGTTTCTGCACACAGCACAGCGGTCACTCTCGATCGATGACGATGGCTTCCAGTAACCTGGGAATGTGGGGCCGCTGATTGCGCATAAGGACGATGAATGACTCATCGGAGTCAGCTCGGTGACCGGGGCTCAGCAACTAGCATATGAGTTCCGGCGCAGCTCGAATTCTCAATGCCTCGGATTCTGCCATCGCCGAACCTATCCGGCTGCGTAACGAATATGGAATGGGTTCATTGATCCTGACACCTAAACTCCGGTTAGTATGCCCGAAACAGCTGTCCCCATAGCTACAGTTGAATTTGTATAAGCAATGAGATATGCACTGCCTCATTATCGATAGCTGGATGACACAAATAACCAGAAGTCCTGTTGAAGTGAACAACCGTTGTTCAGATGCATTGTACGCCCTTGCACGGAAGCAATACTACGCTTCGCTGTGATTTCCATTTTATGATCGCATTTGAATGGCACTTGGATGAAGATCGTCTTCTGTTGAACAGTTGACACACTATCTCGCTTAGACATGTCGCTATTGCGGTTTATAAACTGTACCAAATAACACTTTGATCGTAGTATCTCGAACAGGAAAGCTTTCTCCGCATCTGTGTCCGGGGTGCAAATCATGCGATGTCGAGGAAAGCGCGTTTGGACGAGCGAGCATTTGTGTTGTATAGGGGAGAAATCCTTGAAATGTAAATATTGATCAAGCAATGCTGCTTTTCGGTAGAATGTCCTCCTGAGCGAACCCTCTAAACGCCGCGTCATCAGTATGCCCAGGTATGGAGGACAAAATTTTCGAGTGTTAATGCTTTATCAAAGGCACTTCAGTGTTTGGACCAACACATTCCGTTACAAAAGCTTCAAGGTTATGGAATCTACAACCCCGTTCTGGGCTGGATAGAAGATGTTCTCGTTCAGCGTCACCTAAATGTGAGGGTACGCAGCGCCCCATCCAAATCTATCGAAATCCAATGCCTCTTACCTCAGGCGCTCGGCGCTCAGACCGCGCCTGTTCCTCACCATCACAAATGACCTTGGGAGAGTGCTATCTACAAACTTCTTACTAGTTGCCAATGATCTAAAGGTATGTTGTCTTACTGCTACATTGGAGGATTCCTCAGCCCTCTAAGATGACCTAGATAAAGCGTATACCTTGTTCACAAAGAAGCTTCTGCAGTTCAAGACCACCAAGTAAGAAATTCTGAGCATAGGCCATCAGAGTACGCACAACTACCGGCCAAGGGCACAAATTCCATAGCGGACTTCCAATGAGTGCGATTTTGGCGTGCTTGTGCAAGAGGACCTTGGTACTTTGACGCAGACTGAAATGCATCAAAGAAGGCAAGGCATCACTTGGGCCTACTTCATCGTGAGTCCCGGAATTTCGACGCCTCAGCCTCTTTGAAAATACTTGGCGCGTACGTGATGCCACATGCGTATTACGCTATCCAAGCGTGGTAACCTTGGTAGAAGCAGCACCACATGTCAATCAATACTGCACAACGCAGAAGGACGAAAGACCTCAGAGGTATGTTCCACCTTCGCTATCGGTGTTTACTAGGAGATCTCATAAGAGGGTAACAGATTCCAACACGCCTTAATCACACATCCCACTCCCATTTGAAAATCAGTCAAAACACATCTCTGAGGGCTCATCAGTATAAGTTGGCCACACACAGAACAACCGACTGGAATGTCGACGAAACTTTTTCTCCCGCTGAGTGTCAGAGCCTTCGAGCTACCTCTTGCTCTAAGTAGCAACTTCGTGCTCATTAATATAAACAACTGTAAATGCCAAGCGGTATGCCGCAAACGATATTACCTTTGTCTGCGTCCCGCGCTCCTATGTGTCACATTCGCTATCATGCAAGACGCATCTCCCATCATCTGAAGCTCTTCGATGTTAACATCAGCCAGCTATTTCTAATGAAAATTTTAGACAACCTGACTGTTGTATGTACAAGCAAGTGTACAGTTTGGGTGCTAGCTAGCAGCAGTTTAGTAATGCGAAGCAAATGTGTACCCTGGTCACAATCTGTCATATATACTTGCCTTTATTTAAATTTGCTCATACCTCCAACTAAGGAAGCCCAACCTATGGAGGCCAACTCACACTGTGTGTAACAATTTGTATGTGACTGCGGAAACAGTTACATCGACAGAACTAATGGAAAAACTGATTTCCCCAATAAAGGAGCTTGTACCAAGATGGGTTCAGCGTGAAGTTGTTCAGATTGCCTACTCACGTCAGGTTCCGTGTTCGCACAGACCGCCGGCTTCCTCGATAGGCAATCACCTATTAGACGCTGATCACCAGATAGAGCTGTGCTCAGCGTTTATACTTGTGTTACGTCACACTAATCCCCGCTTCCTTCGGTTTACTGAGTCCGTCGCTATAAGCAGGATGAGACCAGCCTTGCGTGTTCAGAAACAATTACTTTTCAGCCTAAAGCTGCCTTGGACGTAGGTGTGAGCTTCCATCATTCATTCTGCACCTCAAGTTTGTCTGGTTGCACCCAATGTTAGCTATATCTATGCATATCGATTATTGTTAATGGTACTGAGGAGACGATAAGAAATGCACGCATCTACCAGCCTGCATCTTCTTTCCGTGCTTTTCAAATTGTTGAAGGGAACTAACTGCATTACATGTGTTTAAGCATTTGGGTCGAATGGAGCGGAATATGGTTGAAATATTTCGCAGTCCATGGGTTAAATTTGTTACGGAGGGTGTTCCGTAGACCCCATTCACAAACGGTACCAACTTGCGATCCTGCTCATCTTCCCGGGAAACATCGCAGAAATTCAAGGCGCAGAGCACCAAGACGCTGCAAACTAAGGCAACACGGCCTCTGTCGTGTGTCGTGTTGGGAACTTTGCATCGAACAACAATCGTCCAATTCGCATTCACTTCACTGATCGATATCCTTATTATGCGAGAGTATATGTAGACTTATGCTGAGGCATCGGTGGTGGCAGCTGTCAGTCGGAATCGACAAGTTATAGACCACATAAACGATTCAGGTAGCCAAGCGGGAGGTACATAAAGACAGATGGTCTTGTCAGATCACGCAACCAATTGGTTAGTTGAAAAGTTCTGTCAAGGTCGTATCACACCTCTTAGCTTATCATTTAAATCAAAGTTATTAAAATATTTTTAATGTACGATAACGGCGTCCATGTTCACGGATGTGGTGCAACGGCATCTGTGGGTGCCCCGTGGGCGCTTACGCTGTCTGTTTCATTTAGTTGTTGCGTAAACCATTTGCCACTGAATGATCGCCTTTCTTGCAAACCCAGCTGATTGCACTCAATGCACACGACCCAAGTGAGATTTCCGACGAGGTCTTCTGCCGCCGCTGAGCTTGCGATAACAAGGCATAAGTTACGACCTTTAACGTGACTCAGTAAAGTTGACTCTACTAATTGCTGGATCCTTACAAGCGGTCATTTCGAATGATGGCTGTTTGTTACAGCGGAATTTAACATAATAAACACTTGTCCAGTGGTCGAGTAGAGAAATCGGAGGCCTCGACAATTCGGCAGCTGAAACCAAATCTACGCATGCAAATGGATTTCGTGACCACGCTAGACCTTCTTTGGTGAGGTTAGTGTTTCCATTGTCCTCGGAACGGGTCACCTGAGCCTAAGGGCCTTCGACCGCTTTGAATCTTTTGCCGTTAACATCGCCCTTTGATTGTCTGATATGTAGCCTGTGTATTCCACTACTCGTATGCGAAATGCTGCGCTTGATGTGTACGTTGACAAGATGCCTACCTGTCTATTACCCACTACCTCGTTCATACTGGCTCTAGGAGACAGTTGGTCGTTGCTGGAGGGGACGGAGTGCACGGTCCTTGTGGCCGTGCTAGGCCCAAAGAGCGGTTCCATGCACTCAGTGTGGAGCGGACTACGGTCCAGTCACCGCCTTGTGCGCACTTGATTCTCCAAATGCAGCGTGCTTGTGTTTGCCTGTGAAGGAGTGTGGGCCGGCTCCGTTGATGAAACGTGGTTCCCATCCACATGCCTCCTGGTCTTATTCCTCCGGGTTTACACTGGATATGGGGTGTGTGGTTGGAGCTGTGGGTGGTGCAGCGCAAGCCACCCATGGTCCCTCTGTAGGCGCAGGTGTCCTGTGGCTGGCCATGAAATGAATGAAATGTGTCAGCTTATACGCCGTAACGACGCTTCGCTGCCGCGCGACCACCACTAGTCGCGCGCGGGCTGAGTATACCGCGAGGACGCCCACCCCTACGCGGATTGTGGCTGGCCATAGTGACAGGCAAATCCGAAACCGGATGCCGCCAACCATGTAAACAGCTGAGGAGAATACGTGAAATTGCTACATTCAGTAAATTCTGTTAGAATGTTGTTTCTTCTTGCTTTGTTGAAATTCGTGAAGCGAAATGCCTGCATGAAATCAATAACCGTTGTGTTACAGAGCATTGGGAAGTAACTGTTGAACACCACTGATTCCCTTCACTGAATCCTTGTTACAGTGAGACGTTACACAAAGAGTCCTACTGAACACCTCACTTGGTTGAGATTAGGTTCCGTCCGGAAGTCTGTCTTATCATGTGCATAAACACGTACGTATTACAGTGAAGCTTGTTCTGCAACTCTCGACATGTGCTGCCTTATTAATCTGATCATTCGTTGAGTTATCTATATTATGAGGATGCACTGCCTTCTTTGCTTGTACAGAACTTGAAGCTAAACACAATCATTCGAGGAGACGCTCCCACCAGCTCGGTAACGATTGGAAGATCCAAAATAAATGTAAGTACTCTGAGTTGTCTAATTGAAAGTGTTGATCGAAAGTTGTGTTTAACGGAGTCTATCTGGACCGTACTTTACCGTGTGTGTTTTAACCAGGAATGGAACAATTTGTGCACAACCGTTTCAGAACCCACAGAGCGCCAAATGGCTGTCCGTAACTTTTGTGCTACTAGATTCTAAGATGCTATCCGTTAGATGATATCTCGCCAATTTGAACGTAGAACGAAACTAGCCGTACCAGGAATGAATGACAATGATTGGCTATCTGTCAGCACTTCGTCATATTTTTATTCAAAACTGATTCTCAGTCTAATTTACGGCCTGGATACTGACCAAGTCAAAGCAAATCGACAACATCCAACCCAGGGTTTTATTACTAGTTGTGTGTGTTAGATAGAAATAAATTTTCTTTGATTTTAAGCACTGACCTCGACGTCGAAGCACCAAGACCTATTTCAGACTAGTTCTTTCCGATCTGGTCGATACGCGTGATGGGCAATTTCGGATTCACTTATCTGTCTATTTTGATTAAGAATGAATGCAACCAAACTGGTCAAGCAGCTTGACGATGTTTAAGTACGTAACTAAATAAATAAATAAGTGCTTTGTTCCCGGCAGTGTGGGACACGCCTGCGAAGGCATGATCATGATAACACAAACAGGTATGGTCAGTATTTGTATGAAAATATAACATGTTAGGCACCCACATACTGCATTTGTGTGTCTGTATCTATGTAAGTGTAGTATTAGTGGGCATGGTGCGTGAACTTTTGAAATGTGACTGAATTCGTGAGTTTGTTTGCTGTGTTCGCCATCGTATGAAGGGATCAAAGATACTCTTCGAACTGGATGACGTTCGTGAAGTGAAGATCCTCCGGAAGGGGAAGATGCAGTGACTTTATTTGGTTGCGGGTCGCATCCATCACGTCGTAACGTTTTTAAACGAACTTTTGTGGCCTTTTATAGGGAGAAGGTTTGCCAGGCGAAAACACCACGTCCTGGAACACTACCGTGGAACTATTCACTGGAACGGGGATTAACCCCAACCGCTCAGCTGGCATCACGTGGAGGTTGTTCGGCTAGCCAGCCTCACCGTAACATCTTAATATAGCTTCCTTAAGCCAGTGGTACCGATCAACAGTACCCACCGCTTCGTGTCCAAAAGTAACTGGCAGGGTCACTAACTTTACCGTAGGTTCCCACAGCACACCAAATGCAAACTTATTATCAAGCAGTCGACTTTATGCGGCCTTTCTGGGACCCCTTCATTATTCCCATGTAACTGACCGAACAGAGTGCACAAATTGGCAGTCTCATCCCACAATCTGTTTTTTCTGATCATCTTGTTTGAAACCACGATAAATGAAAAAGTAGAAAAAATAAGAAATGGGGTTGTGCTACTTTGACCTTTGGACGAGTTCAAATCGTAGTCCGTGAGTGAAAGCCTCATTCTCGTTATAGTGACTGGGAATGTACCTAAGCCAAAACGTTAGACCTACTTTAACCTTCTGTTACAACATTAGGGGCAAGGGGTTCGACACTGGGAGATGGCTCGAACTAGGTTGGTTACAAGTGGCGGCACAAGTAAAAGAATACGGATACACGTGCTCCATGTAGCTCAACAGGTCAACCGGGGTTCAGTTATACAAAGGAGGACTCGGTTCAATGTTCAGTAGATGTCTCGAAGCCATTTTCTCTGGTAACATCCTAGCCTTCAGTTCAGTGGTCAGTGTTAGCCGGTCACTGCTGGATCACTGAGGTTCTCAATGACCAATGTACTATAGCAAGCATGTGTAAATGGAACACTGGGTGCTCTTTAATCTCTTTAGCAAGAAAGTGCGAAGACCTCAGTCTCGATGCGTCACGACTACATGGTGAAAGTTGGTCGCAAATGCACTACATTGGGGAAACATGCGGCTAAGTAGGTTAGTGCCTAAGTGGCACCATTCGTCTCTTACTGACTGCTACATAACGCCAAAGCAGGTTCCTTGTGAGCTAACGCATTGTTTCCGTTGTGTCCGTGTGCACTTAACATCGATCGACTCCGCCGCATCAAATTGGCATTTTGGTTACGCAGCAGAGCTTAAATGAATAAATAAATAAATGTTTTATTCCTCGACGATGCGAGAGACTATTCCCACATGGGGAAAGAGCAAAATAGTTACAGGATTTTCATTTAGTCCCCTCTACATATTAGAGGGAAATACGCATTATGTTAGATCCATGTCAGTTTCACACATGCACCTTGTTCAGGGTGAAGTGAAAAGATTGTGCTGGGGTTGTATCCACCGTAAACGGATGTCCCGCCGATGTGAACCAGCGCAGTCTGACCAGAAGGCGGAAATGGGACTTTCGTGGATGAGCCAATCTTTCAACCGCTGACGTGCCATCTAACCTCATCGATCGATTAAAACACGTTCAGAAGTCCCATTTCGTAGCAGACTCAGGGAGATGAATTTTTTTAAAAATGCACACGACGTTTGTCGTAATCTAACGCACTGCCTACTCCGCGTGAGAGTCCTGAGAGACCCTTGCACAGCAACAACGCTCAGTTCGAGACAAGTTACACCTTTTCCCGGCCATTTGCGCCCATAGTGCAGCCACATTTCTCCTTTAGAAAAATCATATGCTTTCGTAAGCGACTTCAAAGTACTTCTTCCCTCAACAAAGTGAATCAACTGGCGTGGACGCACCAAACTGCACCTTGTTTGCGTTGCTGGTCGATCCCAAATCAGCAGCACTGTTTGCGCGCAAAACTGACCCTTTCGACATTTAAACTCAGCACTGAAGGGATACACTGAAACCACAAGCATTTCCAGACGCATGTGGTACCTTTGGTGGGGGTTGAGCGCGCCACCTGTCTACCTAAGGTTAACACTGCGGACAAGTGTTCGCTCGTTGACCGTTTGCGTCGGTCTCTGCGGTCTGCAGTGAAATGGTGAGGACGCGCGCGTGACGCACACACTTTTGAAGCATGGACTAAGTGGTGGAGAGGGTTGTGCACGAGTACGGACAATAAGTCCTGAACGTTGTTAATTAAATGTGCTAGCTACCAGGTGCCTTGACACAAGTGCGAAGTATAGAACCCACAGTGCGAGTGGGGCAAGACGACACGTGATGGTGACTGACAGGCCACATGACCCAAGTCACGTGAACTAGTGCACACTGCTCGCCTAGCTGGCGAAGTGAATGCACCGCACTGCTTGTGCTCCATCGTGCTGAATGAGCCCCTACAAAGAGATCGGAATTCAGCGAGCGCTGTTTCGGTCCTAACGTCGTACGTCAAACGGTGGACACGCATTGCGCTTGAAGATAACTGGAGTCTAAGCTGACCGCATTACCCTAGTAGATGTAGGGCACTCCACCTGATTTCAGCTGATTGCAGTCGGGATTAAATGGTAGTTCTTACTGGTCAGTGAATAAGCAATTGGTATGACACCTGCTTCGATCGAATAAGCGGTTCCTGTTCTTTCGAACTGTGTGCTACTAGCTAAGTGAACTCAGCGGACGACTCAAAACATATTGCCTGCTTCGGTACAACAGCTGTTGCAATGTACGCAGTGGACTTGAGATCTGAAAAGTGGAAAGCAGCTATTCAGCATTCTGAAATAGTTCAGTTACGAACGCCGTTGAGATTGTCTACGTCTCACCACAACCGGTCATCCACGACGATATGAAACCTAAGGGACTTGTTGTGTCGGAGCCCCGCCACGGCTTCGACCCACTAACGATAGCGTGAACAAGGACGACCGGCGACAAGGGTCCAATGGATCCTTTACATAGGGAAACCACCGTGATGTAGTATGATGTACAAACGCGAAAACCAACCAGAGTATGAAAAGCTTGCGGACAAGTAAAGCCAATAAACAGTGAACAAAATAAGGAACCAATCAAGTGCACACAAAGAACGGAAAGTGAGCGTGTTTGCGTCAGTGTAGAGCTGCGATTTGAAGGCAAAAATAATGACTCTAAACAGCCAATAAAGATAACGGAATGATAGGTTGAAACAAACCTCAGTGAACCACCAGAGCAAAACAATGTATACAGCCATAAACGATTACAGAATCATACCTGTCTTTTTATTGCTCCTGGACTAAGCCCTTTTGAACCACCCGAAATAGTCCGCTTGAAGCAGCAATCAGTAACTGAACTTAGTAGGCGGGTCCACAATACCAGCTCCGTGCGATAGCTTACTTATCAACTCGTCAACTACTCACAACCCCTGGTCTGCCACCAGTACTAGCACTGTACTTGCCATCCTGGTTACCGCGAAACTTTGCCAACCGCTATGGTTCTGAATAACATCATGCATCCATGAATGGCAGCGTGGCACAACTACGGTAATGAGACAAACACCAGTTCACTTCAGATACACTTACGTTATTGGATTACAGACGATTTACAAGTCCATGAGATGCTATACGCAAGCGTAATCAATTCTCGCGCGCTAGACTATTCGTTGGCAACGCTGCTGTGTCATGCGGTCTCGTGTCTCCGACATAGTACCTTCCAGGAAATGCATCCTCTACTGGTTCTTGCAGAGGATATCTTCAGAATCCTCCTGAAGCATCTCCTAATAGTGTGTTCTCACACTTTGCTTCACACACGTATTTATAATGTTCAAGATGCCTTCAAAAGGATTCAGTGATGGAGAATATGGAGCAAGACGTAGCAGGCTCCCCGAGAGCTGCTGCTACTCTTGGAATACGGGTTCCAGATTAGTGCAATCCGGCGCGTTAGCACCGGTCAGAAAGAACGTCATCTGAAGTCAGTTTCACGCAAGCAAGTATGCAAATGCATGGTCGAACTCACGTGGTAGGGTTAGGCCTAGCGGTGAGTAGGCATCAATTGACTCTCCGTGCATGAATATTCCGTGTGAGCGCTTCCATGTGCCCATAACACAAGCCTTGCACACTCCACCATTGGACAATGCTAGCAGCCAAAGGCAGTCGTGCCCTGCATTTTCCAATTTTCCACTGCACTGACCTGTTTACACTGCA